GCTCCAAAGTACAAACACTCCGAGAGCAACTCGGAGTGTTGTTCTCGGAGGAGCTGGGGTACGTTGTCCAAGTGCCCAAGGCCCATCAAGCCAGCGTCGTCGCGTTGTTTGCGTCGCTGCATGTGCCGCTGGTGCATCTGGGTCACGTGACTGACGTCGATCAGACGCTCGTGATTCAAGTGAACGGCCGCACCGTCGTGGAAGACACGACTGCCCGTTTGCGTGACACGTGGGAAGCCACGTCGTTTGAGCTCGAGAAGCGCCAGCGCAGCCCAGACCATGTCCAGCAAGAACAAGATGGCTTAAAGCACCGCAGCATTCCGCCGTGGCAGCTCACGTATGAACCGACCCCGCCCAAGGCACTGTCTACCCGCAACCAGCACCGTATCGCAGTGTTGCGCGAGGAAGGTTCGAACGGAGGTATGTAAAAAGATATATGGTACATATGAACGTTGTGTGCATATATATATATATATATATATATATATAGTGGGGAAACATACACTCGTGTTTTCCCCAACCATTTCTGTGTCAACGTGGTGGTGGGATTGGGGAAAAAATCCCTTTTTTTCCTACACGTATATTGTCTAACAACCTGAACGAGGCGTGGGACCTCATGGGAAAATTCCCTTTTTTCCCATCATTTGCACTTTCTAGTATATATATATATATATCGATCAAATGCTGATCGTTTTGTGATTACGACTATGTAGATCGCGAGATGGGCAGTTCGTTCTACTTGGCCGGGTTTGAAGTATGGGATATTACCATGCGCGACTTGGTGGCTGGGACAGTCGCATTGGACGAACGGTTCCGTGGGGTTGCGTTTGTGGGGGGGTTTTCCTTTGCCGACGTGTTGGGATCGGCCAAGGGATGGGCGGGCGTGGTCAAGTACCACCCGAATGTACTCGCGCAGTTCAAAGCGTTCCGTGCGCGGACCGATACGTTCAGTCTGGGCGTGTGCAACGGCTGCCAGTTCATGTCGTTGCTGGGGTGGGTCAACCCGCCCGTGTCGGAGCAACTTGCTCTAGAAAACCCGACTCGCGCCGGCGACTGGAACCCTCGGTTCATTGACAACGCATGTGAAAAGTACGTGTGCAACTTTGTGACCGTGCAAATCCAAGAGAGCAACGCGGTGATGCTCAAGGGCATGGCGGGCAGTTCGCTGGGGGTGTGGGTAGCCCATGGCGAAGGCCGCGCGTACTTTTCCGACCCGCGGTTGCTCCAGGACGTGCTCGACAACAAGTTGGCGCCTGTGCGCTATGTGAACGACGCGAATGAAGTCACGGAAGCGTACCCGTTCAGCCCCAACGGGTCGCCCCATGGGATTGCTGGCCTCGTCTCGGATGATGGCCGCCATTTTTGTCTGATGCCGCACCCCGAGCGCACGTCGCTCAAGTTTCAGTGGCCGTACAAGACCAAAGCTATCCAAGAGGCCAAGGTGAGCCCATGGCTCCAGCTGTTCCAGAACGCCAAGACGTTTTGCGAAGAATCGACGACCAACTAGAAAAGGGAAAAAATATATATACATTCGGCGTTTTATACAAAGATCGTAATAATACTGTTTTTGTATCCGTGTGCTGGCTGCATTGTGATAATGATTTCGCACTTGACTTAAACTTCGATTCGAACTTCGAAGCTTGCAGACTTTGTTCGGAAACAGGTCTGAAAAGTGAGGATCCGCAGACATCTGACTACTTTCCGAGCCAATCAAATTGCTCTATTGAGGTTTGCTAGCGAAATCTCCACTCACACCAACATGCTCCGACTCGCTTCAGCCGACGCATAGGTAGTTAAGACTATGTAGTGTTAGGATAGTGCACAAGCGCGGGTATATACAGTGATGCAGGACGCTAGTCTAAGTGTGTAGCTCAGGGCAGTACATCCCAGTATACTCCCCGCCGCCGCGCACCAAGC